AAACTGGGAAAGAATTTTTACAACCAATGTCTCTGATAAGGGCCTCATTTCTAAAATATATAGAGAACTAAGTCAAATTTATAAGAATATAAGCCATTCCCCAATTGATATTGCTGGGTCAAAGGATATGAACAGGCAGTTTTCAGATGAAGAAATTAAAGCTATCTATAGTCATATGAAAAAATACTCTAAATCACTATTGATTAGAGAAATGCAAATCAAAATGATTCTGAGGTAACACCTCACATCTATCAGATTGGCTAAAATGAGAGAAAAGGAAAGTGATGAATGTTAGAGGGGATGTGAGAAAAGTGGAAAACTAATGCATTGTTAGAGTTGTGAACTGATCCAACCATTCTGGAGAGCAATTTGGAACTATGTCCAAAGGGCTATAAAAATGTTCATACCCTTTGACCCAGCAATACCCACTTCTGGCTGTATCCCAAAGAGATCATAAAAATTAGAAAAGGACCCACATGTACAAAAATATTTATAGCAACTCTGTCTGTGGTGGCAAAGACTTGGAAATTGAGGGGATGCCCATCACTTGGGGAATGGCTGAACAAATTGTGGTATATGAATGTAATGGAATACTGTTGTGCTATAAGAAATGATGAGCAGACAGACTTCAAAAAAACCTGGAAAGACTTGTATGGACTGATGCTGAGTGAAGTGAGCTGAACCAGGAGAACACTGTACACAGTAACACATAGTGTGATGACTAACTTTGATAGACTTAACTCTTCTCAGCAATGCAAGGATCTAAGATGTCTCCAAAAGTCTCATGATGGAAAATACTATCTGCATCCAGAGAAAGAATTACGGAGTCTGAATGCAGATTAAAGCATACTATTTGCTCTTTTTCTTTCAGTTTTGTTTTGTTTCTTCTTTCTTGTGGTTCCTCCTATTGGTTATAATTCTTCTTTACAACATGACTAATGTGAAAATATGTTTAATACGAATGTATATATAGAATCTATGTCAGATTGTATGTCGTCTTGGGGAGGGAGGCAGGGAAGGAGGGGGAGAAAATGTAAAACTCAAAAGCTTATGGAAGTGAATGTTGAAAACTAAAATAAATTAATTAAAAAATAATAATAAAAGAAAAAAACCTGCCTTCATGTATCTCAAGTTAAGAACCCCTGCTCTAGACCATGTTTGTATATAGCAATACTTTGTAGCGACAAACTACAATGTAACTAGAATAGCACACAACTATAAGTTTTATAACAGCGTGGGGTAAATCTGTACTCCCTATTAAACCCCCAACCCTTTACATCTGCTTTCTCTTCTTCATGCTTCTTTCTAATTCTGAGTTTTTCTGATGCTGTTTTCATAAGTTGGGAGGCAAAGGACTTCAGCTTCTTTGTTAAATAGTAGATGCCATTTTATCAACTACCCTGGAACAACTAACTTGAGTTAACCACGTGGCCATTATTAATAATGGTCAGGAAATAATGCAACTTCTTCCAGCTTCCTCAAACCAATGGTGTCAAATTCAAATAGAAACTGAGGTCACTATTCCATACACAAGGTTCTCTGTGGGCTGTTAAAATGTAATATCTGTTTTATTGTGTTTTTGTTTATTTTGTTAAATATTTCCCAATTACATTTTAATATGGTTCTACCATGCTCAGGAGTGTTGCAGGCTGAATATTTGACACCTGTCTAAGCATGTCCCTGATGCCTCAGTGTGGCGTGAATATCCACTATACCTAAACACTTCACCAATGAAGCATAAACTCTGGAGCACTTACCAATCTTGAAAGGTTTCAAAAAATGACCTGGCAATGAATTTGCATCTGCAATTTGGCCTAGTTGACCTCTCTCCTGGACCACTGTGGGTGTAGATGGTGGGATTGGCAGCATTTATGTAGGGAGCCCCCCCACTCATTGCTATTAGTCTTTTGAAACATTGAAATAGTACTTTAGTGTGATCACAGCAATATTTGGGGGGTGACTCATAATTCTTTAGAATACATCCTAAATGTTTTAGTCAGTGTACTAAAAACCAAGATTCTTCATTAGAATCCAGACAAGAAAAGCAAGCTTTTCCTGGAGAACTATGCAGTCATCTTGGCAGGGAATTAACAAAATTTCAACTTAGGTAACCTTTGCTTTAGCATTTTCCATGATTTTTCACTCCCATTCCAGGCTTTTCACAACATAGGACCAACATAGTGATTTAGAACGATGATGAGCACAGGCTGGAACACGTCAGTGATGCCACTCTGTAAGTCCCCTTGCACCCCCAAATAAAATAGACAAATGGAGGTCTGCAAGCATCCAAAGAGAAAATAAAGGTCATCAGTTTACAACATAGATATTAAAACTTGAAATTACGTATGAAGTGTTACTTGACTTTTATCCTTAATCCTTTTCTTTAATTCAGTCAACAGGTATGTGATGTCCCCTGTGCCCACAGTCACACAGCTAGTAAGTATTAGCAGTAGTCAGTCAGTCAGTATGTATTTATTTAAGAACTTTCTATGTACCAGACACTGTGCCAAGTGCTGGCAATACAAAGAAAGAGAAAAGACAGTCCCTTCCCTCAGGGAACTCCAAGTCTAATGAGGGAGCCATAGGTACAAATAAAGTGTTTACTGGATAAAATAGAAATAATCAACAAAAGGGAAAGACTAGCATTAAGGTTGATCAGGAAAGGTTTTTCATAGGTAGTATATAAGTTTAGGTCTTCCTGTATGAAAGTCAGTGTACAAATGAGTGAGTGAGATAGTAGTAATAATAATCCACATTAATATAGCACTTTAAAGTTTGCAAAGCATTTCCTTCACAATACCCCTTAAGTCATATAAGATAGGTACCTCTCCACCTCATTTTATAGATAAAGAAATAGGCTCAGAAAAATCAACGATTTTCTTTGCTTTTTTAAAATGTTTTATTGATTCTTTGTTTTATAACACTCACTTCCCACTTAACCCTCTGCCTTATAATAGAGCTCTCTTGTGTGTCAAATAAGTTGAGTCAAGAAAAACAAATCAACATAATGTCCATGTCTGAAAATGTGGGCCTCAATCTTCACCTGCAGTGCAAGAAGAGGGGGAAATAATAACAAAACCAATCAATAGAGGCAGGGAGGGAGCTCAGTGGAGAGAGTGCTGCACTTGGATTCAGAAAGACCTAAGTTTGCCTCAGTCACTTCTATGTGACTTGGGCAAGTCATAAGACTTCCGTCAACTTCAGTTTCCACATCTGTATAGGGGCTTATAATAAGAGCGGTTACCTTCCAGGGATGTATTGAGGATCAAATGATATCATATTGATAAAATGTTTTGCATACTTTAAAGCAATATGTAAATGCTAACTACCCATTAGATGTCAAGGTCCTGGAAAGCAGGGACTGTCTTCTTTTCTTTCTTTGTATCCCTAAATCTTCACAGTGCTTGGCACATTTAAGTCAGCATTTAATAATACTTATTGACTAACTCAATACTGCAAAGGAATGGGAGCTGTTTTCTCATATCTGTTCCTTAGTACCATGCTTCTTTTTTGTAATTCTATGACATTAATTTTCCTTTGCTTTCATTGTTGTAATTAATGGGTATATTGTTTCCTTGGCTCTGCTTTCTTCATTTTGTATCAGTTCATGTAAGTTTCCATGCTTCTCTGTAACTCTTTTAGTCATTTCTTACAGCACAGTAACATTCCATTACATTCATGTACCACCTTTGTTTAGCCTTTCTCCAGTTACTGGCAGCTATTTGTTTTCAGTTTTTGTTTTTTCTTTATTATTATTATCACAGTAAGTGCTGCTATAAATGTTTTGGTGTATATGGGGATTTCTTTTTTTTTAATATTTTATTTTATTTTATTTTATTTTTTTTAGGCAGTTGGGGTTAAGTGACTTGCCCAGGGTCACACAGCTAGTAAGTGTCAAGTGATTGGTCTGAGGCCAGATTTGAACTCAGATCCTCCTGACTTCAGGGCCGGTGCTCTACCCACTGCGCCACCTAGCTGCCCCAAGGGGATTTCTTATCAATGACTTCCTTGGAATAGATGGCAAGTAGTGGAATCTTTAGGTTGACAGGTAATAAGTGACTTTCCTATGACCACATAGTGGAGCTAAGACCAAGAACACACCTATGTGAATCTGCAAAAATGAAACAACCCATTTGGGTGAGGGTCACCAACCTTATTGATCTTAATATAGACTATACCATCTGCTCCTCCTCCTTCTTTCAGGTTTCTTTGAGCATGAGTATGACCTGGAATGAATATTGTGTGTGTGTGTGTGTGTGTGTGTGTGTGTGTGTGTGTGTGTGTGTATGTGAGAGAGAGAGAGAGAGAAAGAGAGAGAATCTTTCTAGGCAATTTTATTCTTCCTCCCTATCAAGTTCATTAATGATCATCTACTTCCAGAAAATTTGACTTTGTTCAAAGGACAAATGTGTGTGTGTGTTGAAAAATGTGTCTTATTCCAGGTTCAGTGCATATGCACTATACTTCAACTAAGCCAAGCCTATTTCCTAAATGGAAAATTACTGTTTTCCATTTCACTTTATCAGATCCATCTCTCTCTCTTCATTCTCTTCCTCTTTCTTCCCTCTCTTCCCCCATCCCTTTCTCCCTCTCCTCTAACACAACTACTCTAAGAACATACCTTCTCTCTGTAGCATTTAGTGACATAAGGTTTAAAAAAAAACAAAGGTCAGGAGGTCAGGCAGGACTTGGAGATAGGAGATCAAATCTCATCTTGATACTTAAGTGACAGTGTGACCTTTGGCTAGTCACTTAAACTCTCTGTGCCTTGGTTTTTTCATCTATAAAAAAGAAATGTGAACAATAATACATTTGTTATCTCAGAGGGTCATTATGGAGAAAGTACTTTTAAACCTTAAAGTGCTATATAAATAGCTTATTTTGGCAGAGTTGCAGAAATCTTATTTAAAAAGAAAATGGACCAGGTTAAAAGTCTTAAGTGACTATATACAGGAGCTGGGCAGGAAAATGACCAAACTTTTGCTTGCTTTTATTTGCAGTATAAGAAGGAAGCCCACAATGTGACGAGTTACTGTCATGAGACATTTCCTGGATGGGTACATGATGTTTTGGGCAAGAACTGGGCATGTTTCACTGCAAAGAAGCTTATAAGCACTCCCGAAAATGTACGGGTGAATGAGCTACCCCCCAGGCACCACAAGGAAAGGTGAGTTGGCCTGGCTGAGGACTGAGTTTGTTCATACTTGTAAATCAATTTTCTTGTTATTATGGCTAATGTGTTATACCAGCACAGTCAGTTCTGACTTTGAATCTCTGCTCTGTGACCACTAGCTGTGTAACTGTGGGCAAGTCTCTTCATGTTTCTGATCCTTAGTTTCTTCATCTGTACAATGGGGCCAATAATATTGTATGCTGCCTATTTCACAGAGTTGTCTTGAAGAAACTAGCTTAAGGGGCAGCTCGATGGCGCAGTGGATAGAGCACCGGCCCTGAAGTCAGGAGGACCTGAGTTGAAATCTGACCTCAGACCAAACACTTGACACTTACTAGCTGTGTGACCCTGGGCAAGTCACTGAACCCCAATTGCCTTTAAAAGAAAAAAAGAAAAGAAAAGAAACTAGCTTAAAAACCTACGTGAAGGGTCGCTAGGTGGCACAGTGGATACAGCACCAGACCTAAAGTCAGGAGGACCTGAGTTCAAATCCAGCCTCAGACCAAACACTTGACACTTACTAGTTGAGTGACCCTGGGTAAGTCACTTAACCCCAATTACCTAAAAAACAAAAACAACTATGTGAAAGACAGCTATTATCATTACTTGTACAAGTCTACCATCATAATACAAAATCCCTAGATTGCCTAAAATGATTCCTTCATTGTTCAAAGCATTTTTTTTTGTTAGATATTGTTCTTAGAGGCTCTCTAAAGTCCTTGCTTTTAAACTACTTGTAGTTTAGGAAATAAGAGGCCTGAGAATGAATGAGTGAAAATACTTTTATTAGCTACTTTCTGTATGTCAAGCATCACTAATTTTTGGAGATACAAATAGAATTTTTGGAGATACAAATAGAAAGATTGAGATAGTTCCTCAAGGCGCTCACAATTTAATTTGGAGAGATTATAGAGGGTTAACAAGCATTTATTTATTGTTTTTTATTTGTCAAGAAAAGAAAAAAGAAAAAACAACGCCTGCTGTCAGAGTGTAGTTGTAATGGGGGAGGCAACATGTAAATAATGAGGCACGTACAAGATATAGAGAGTAGTAGATGAAGGTAATTTGAAAGGTGAAGTCATTGATTTTCAATAGAATTGATTTTCATTGTGGTTTATGCATTTAAAAAACAGGGTTCTGAAAAGGGGTTCATAGCTTCACCAGATTGCCAAAGGGGTCTATGACACTAAAGAGGTTAAAAACCCCTCTCTATTTTTTTCCCCTCTTGTGGCATCCACTTTTGTTTCTATGTCAATGACACACACATCTACTTTTCTCCCCAAACCATATGCATTTAAAACTGTATTTTGGTCCTCATTCTCTAGATGTCCTGCTAATCATATAGACTCAATATCTCAGAATCATTATGGACTCTTCCTTGTTTTTACCCCACTACATCTAATAAGTCTACAAGTCCCGTTGATTATACATGTGTAAAATCTCATTTCTGCCTGCTCCATTCTATTCCCACTGCTGCCACTCCATTTTATACCCCACTTACTTCTCACCTGGACTATTTTAATATTTGCCTAATAGTATTTGTTTCTCCTTCCTGTGAGATCTAGCCTTCACTTCATTTCCAGAATAATTTCCCACATCTTGGATCATACTGTTCATCTGATCAAAAACTTTCAGTTGTTTACCAAGTAAAACCCAAACTCTTGTTTAGCCTGGAATTCAGAACTCTTACATGTATCTAGGCCTAGTATCTTGACCCTTTAAAGCCTTAGTTCATAAGCTTGGAGGTGGAAGACATTTTAGGGGGTCTTTTAGTCCAACCTCCTTATTTTATAAATTATGAAACTGAAGCCCAGAGAGATTAGGTGATTTGATGAAGGCCATATATGTAATAAGAAAAAGAACTGGGATTTGAACTTGGATCATCTGAGTCCAAAATCCAGTGGTCTTTCTGCTATACAGGGCTAGGTCTTGAAAAGAGTTTAGAAGTCATCTAAACCAACTTCCTCATTTTACGATAAGCCAAGGGAGGCCCACAGACATTAAGTAATTTGCCCAAAATCACATAGATAAGTAGAAGGGCTGGGATTTGAACCCACAAACTTTGACTCCAAATCCAATATCATTCTGTATACCACCCTCCTTCACAATCTCCCCGACTCCTAGCCGACACCATAAAAAGGAAATTAACAGTGGCCTGTCTTGTGAACGTGGAAGGAAATGTTGTGAAGTCAATTTTGTACATTAAATTCATCAATCAGCTCATTTCTCTCCACAATGTGCTTGTTGGGCCTTTTCATATATTAAGTTAGTTTTTAATGTAGCTTAAGATGAATGTGAGAAAACGAATGCTTTTACTATTAAATCCCCTTACTTTCTTACTGTTTCTTTTTTGGCTTCTGTGGAACTAAAATCCGAGCATATTTTCCTTTCGGTTAATTCTCCAGTACCAACATATTAATGCTGCTATAACTCAGGACTCTTACCCCTGGCCCAGTGCCCCAGAGAGTACCTATTGTTTCTAAGTTGGCAGCTTGTTACTCTGCAGTAATACTTTCAGTGGAACAAAGACTTAACACCCAGTCTTCAAAATTGAGACAGGACTTCATTGTAACAGGAGACATCCTAGGCCAGTGTTCCTAAGATCACACTATGATAGAATTAGAGCTAGAAAAAATGTTAAAGGCCATCGAATCTAGCCCCTATATTTTTATAGATAAGTAAGCAGTTCATCCATCAATAAGCATTTATTAGGTACTTACTATGTGCTAAGCATGGAGGATATACAGAAAATGCTAAAACATTTGCTGTCCTCAAGAAGCTCACTTGCTAAGGTGTGGAAACAGACTAGGAAAGTTGTGACTTACCCAGGATCACGAAGCTAATAGGGGTCAACAGCAGGATTTGGACAGAGATAATGCTTTATTCACTCTACCACATTGCCTCTCAATTTTGTCCTTGAAAGGACATCCTGGGTGGCTACACTATTTAGCACTAGTGCCTTAGTATCTGAAATAGGATACCATTCTCAGTTGACTGTAGTCTTAGTGTGAGATGTATGTCTTGGCCATCATAACAGAAACATCTAATTTAGAGTGAGGGAGGTTAACAAGCTTGTTGTCATCCTGGTCAGGACACAGCAAGAGTACTGTATTTATTTCTGGACACTGGATTTTTTAGAAAGGACATTGACAAACTGGAATAAACCTAAAGGAGAGAAGAAAGGATAATTAGGGGTAGTTGAGGCCATGCTGTAGAAGAAGCTCTTGAACCAAGTCAGAGTATTTAGCCTGGAGAAGAGAAGGCTGAAGAGGGATGAGATAGTCTTCAAGTATGTGAATGTTTGACTCCAGAGGGCAGAACTGGGAATAATTATAATACTCAGCATTTCTCTAGCCCTTTAAGATTTGCTAAGCACTTTATATGCATTATCTCATTTGAAACTCATAGCAATTCTATGAGGTAGGTGCTATAGTTGTCTCCATTTTGCTATTAAGGAAACTGAGGCTAAGAGAGATTTCTTAATTTGCCCAAGGTTGTACCACTAGTTATTTACTGTGGTGGCCTTTGAACTCAGAACTTCCTGACTCTAATTAGGTCCAGCATTCTATCCACTGTGACACCGGGTGCTGCAGGAGCCATCAGTAGAATTTTCAAAGAAGCAAATTTAGGTTAATCTAAAGAGGAAACAAGCCCAACACCTTACTAACAATTATTTAGAATTAGAATGAGATGCCTCAGAATATGGTGAATGCCTCAGAATGTGGTGAATTCCTCATTATTGGAGCTCTTCAGGTAGATAATGGATGATGACTTGTCAAGAGAGAGAATTTATGTTTAGTTATGGATTGGAGCAGTTATCCTGTGAAGTTACTGCTGAGATTGTGTGATTCTGTATGAACATACTTTTATCTCAACCTTACATAAACTGCACAGAGACATTCTCTGAGTTATGAAATATGAAATTTGCAAAAGTAAGACATACACAAATTATCCAAACAACACAGCCAAGATCTCTGTCTCTCCCCCACTCCTCTTTCTCCCCTCTCTCCTTTTTCCTCTCTCCTCTCTCTTCTATCTTCCCCTATTCTCTCTTTCTCCCTCTCTCTCTCCTATACAGTGAGACCACTTTAATTCCCTTCTTCTTTCCCGTTTTTGCTTTGAACTCTTTTCAACGTAACCTAGGAAAATATATCACCCTCTCTCCATTTCATGGTATCAGGAATAAGATCTATAAGGTCCTGCAAATCTCACGTACTCTATCTAACCCTCTCATTTGTAAGACAAAGAAAATGATGAATGGAGAGTTAATGTGACTTGCTCAAGGTATTAGGTGGCTAGTTAGTAACAGAGCTGAAACTAGAACCCAGGCCTAAGTCCTAGTTATTTCTAGTAGACACTTTGCTCCCTCTCTGTCTCTCTTTTTGTCTCTTTCTGTTTCTCTCTGCCCCCTCCCATCTCTCCAACATATAAATCAAAAAATATGAACCTCATTATAATTTATGAGCCTAATAGTAGTGTTAATGATACATGTGTATCCATGGAAAGTAAAGACACATGCTTTGAGGGGAAATTGACAATATAAAAGGTCATTACATCATTATTACTCTTGAAAATGTGAAAATAATAGCTAGCATTTATGAAGTGCTTTAAGATTTGAAAAGTACTCCATCTATATTATTTCATTTAATCCTTACCACACAACCCTGTGAGATAGGTGCTATTGTTAATACCCCCTTTTTTTTTTTGTCAAGGCAATCAGGGCTAAGTGACTTGCCCAGGGTCACACAGCTAGTCTGAGGCTGGATTTGAACTCAGGTGTTAAACCCTTTTAATAAATGAGTAACCTGAGGAAGAAAAACATTAAGTGACTTGCCTAGGGTCACACAGCTAGGAAAAGAGGTAGGATTTTAACTCAGATCTTCCTAACTCTGAATCTAGCATTCTGTCTTTACCACCTAGATGCCTAGAAGTTTCTGTTAAGACTTTAAAATCACTACAAAATTCACCATCCATTTTCTTTCTTTATCCTCCCCTCAGAAAATGTGCTTTTTCTTTAAACATTCTTATTTAGATGAAATTAAACTCTTTCTGGATCTTGTTTAATTTTTCAAAAATGTTTCATATCTCTAATGTGTAATTAGTGTAGTTTAGAGTGGGAATAATTGTTGTCCGGAAGTCAAGACACTGGCTTCTAGTCTTAGTCTTGCCATTTACCAGCTAGGTAACCTTAGACAAGTCACTTAGGCCCCAATTAAAATTCCCAGTTGAATACAGGGAAGCATTATCTCAAAGCCCCTTCAAACTCTGAAATCTAATGATTCTAAATGATTATGTCAATTATTTTTTTAAAAATAAATTTTATTTTTAAATTGTTCTGTGTCTTTCGCCCTTCTTCCTCCCAGAAAGTCGTCTCATATAACAAAAAATTTATTTGAAGAAAAGGAGGAGGAAGGGGGAAAAAATTCAGCAAAACTGAATAATGTGTTTTTTAAGAATCTGACAGTACATGAAATGTTCCATACCTATGGATCCCCACCTCTGCAAAGGATTATGGGTGGTGACTTCTCATATCTCTTCTTTATTTTATCTTTTATTTTTAGGCATTTGGGGTTAAGTGACTTGCCCAGGGTCACACAGCTAGTAAGTGTCAAATGTTAGGTCTGAGGCCAGCTTTGAATTCAGGTCTTCCTGACTCCAGGGCCGGTGCTCTATCCCCTGCGCCACCTAGCTGCCCCTCATATCTCTTCTTTAGATCCATGCCTATTCTTTGTAATTTTGCAACATAAGTTTTTGATTGTCTTTGTTGTTTCCATTGACATTGTTGTAGTCACGGCATATATTTTTTTCTTGGTTCTGCTTATTTCACTTTGCATCAGTTTATATCTTTCCATGCTTCTCTGTAGCCTTTATATTCTGCTTAATGGAATTTTACTGAGCTATAAGGAATATCTATTATTTTTCCATGTGAATGAACAGTATTTCAGCCATACTGTAGATGAAATAGGCTTTTGTGGATTGACCTGGAACATTTATATTTTCTAGCTGAAAAACACCCAGCTAAGTTTTTTGAAACCCAACCTATTTACTAGCTGAAAACTGCCTTTTATTAATGAAAGCTGATTTTGCATCAAGTCCTTTTATACATTCCTCACCTTTAAGAGTCATTCATCATTCTATATTACCTTCCATCCACCACCTCACCCCTCTGTGATGAATGAAAAAATCTGAGAGACAGAGTTTCTGGTAATTAATAATCAATTTATCAATTAGACAAGCCAGTAATCGATAAATCGATGAACAGTGGTTTCTCTCAGCAAGCAAAGACGTGGAAAGTCTGAAAAGCTTTAAATAATCCTTAAAAGGGAATTGACAACTGAAAATTGACCCCTGATTGGTGGACATTTAATGAGGAGATAGGTTACAAGTTTTCAGTCCCTCCTGTTGAGAACTGGCTGGCTTTTGAGATTTGGCCATCTCCAGCAATCTGGACAGGGGAATCCCATTTCCATCCAGACCACTCTGGTCGGTTTTCTCCTTCTTGAGTTGGATCACCCTAAACTCTAATGGAAAGGTAAAAGGCTCTTTTCCTTGGGGTAAGAATTTGCCTACACTGAATTCTCTTTATACCCTAAACAGAAGTAAAGTCTTTTAATTGGGTGGGGTCAGGCGCGGGATCAAACAGTTTGTACCCTGAGGGATAGAGGTAATCTCAATCAGTCATGTCCTTCAGAGGCTGACCTTCCACCAGAGCTGGGTCTCAATGAAGAAACAAAGGAGAAAAGCCTGGATCCCAATTTAACAATTTGTTACTAATATAATAGTAAAATGATATTTTTTCTCACCCCTAAAAAAAAATAGCCTGGATTCCTGGTTTCTGGAATGGTCTTTCTGACTTAGAAGTCTAATAGCTATTACATATTCTCACTAAAAACAAATTACATTCCCTAGTGTTGTCCTTTAGCAAAGTGCTTATTTAAAGCCATGCTGTTTCCTTTCCTGATAATGAAGCAAAGTATTGGTTCAAGATGCACTCAGTAGTTTATTAAGTCATTGGCTTCAGATTCTGTGCTCTTAACAGCAATTCCTGTTCTGGGTGTGGTAAAAGAGATTGTCTAAAATAGCTTAGCCATGGAGTTATTTATATTAAGATTCTCTCTAGAGGCACTTGTGTTATGGGATTGATACTGAGCTGAAATTTTGCTGAGCTCACTTCCCCATCCTAAAACAATCCTTTATGAAGACAATACTTTTGATGATGGTGGTGATAATGATGATACTCTCATTTTCTGGCACTTTTGAGGTTTACAAAGGTTTAAAGTTTATTTACATAACACTCATCATTTGGATACAGGTTGTACCACTTAGAGTAAACCCAGGATGGTGAAAGAAAGAAAAAAGAAAGAAGAAAACATGTTTACAAAGCTGGTAAACCCAGAGGGTGATCATTTGTAGTCTTGTGAATGTAAAAATATTCTATTTTTACTAAAAAGGAAACCTAGCCTTAGAGAGCACAATTAACTTGCCCAGAGTCCCGCAGGTAATAAGGGGGTGAGCCAGATCTTCTTTTTCCAAGACTAGTAATTCTACCGTATGATTAACTCATCCAATTTCTGGGTATTTGTGGGTGTTAGGGATTGGGGGGGCAGGGAGAAGAAAAGATTGTTCACATTTACATAGTTTTTTTTAAAATTTGTTTTGTTTTGATTTTTACAAAATGCATTCTTCCCAACAACCCTGTGAGGTCAGTAGTGTAAGTTGAATTTGTTTTTGTTGTTCAGTCATTTCAGTTGTGTCTGACTTCTCATGACCCCATTTGGGGTTTTTGTAGCAAAGATACTGGTTTGCAGTTTTCTTCTTCAGCTTATTTTACAGATGAGGAAACTGAGGCAAACAAGGTTTGCCCAGGATCACACAGCTAGTAAGTTTGAAACCAGATTTAAACTCAGGAAGCTGACTCCAGACCTGGCATGCTATCCATTGTGCCACCTAACTGTCCCATAAGTTTCATTATTCTCTCATGTGTTGGATGAGAAAACTAAGTCTCTGTGAAGGAAGTGTTGTTTAGTGTTATTGTTTCCACTTCTGTGGTAACTGATCAGTCTTTATTTTTGATAGTAAAGTGTACATTTCCTAGGACAGGGAATACTTTTGATTTTATCTTTGTATCCATAGAACCTTAGAACAATGCTCTTTGCACATGGTAACTGCTCACTGTCAAAGAGTAACAAACTCAGGCCTTCTGACCCCAAGTTCAATGTGTTTTCCAATACACAATTCAGAAGATAACATCAGGGCTTTTAGTGGCATGTACACAATGTCAAAATATAGAAAAAAAAAGAATTAAAAATAACACCATTTAGATGTGTAAAAATGCAGACAAGCCACATAACATGCAATATGTGTATCTTGAAAAGTCATGTGAATTGAATCTTGGAAAATCAAATTCCATTTTTAATGCCCAGGATGATCTCCTTCAGTTTGAGGAATGCTGTGCTGATGACCATTCCCTTCCTCATCTAATCTGCTTTGTAAATATATAGTCTTTATTGGTTTTACATCATGCAGAATTGTCTTGCACTTGAAAGGAAGTTCAAATCCAGAACTTCAGCTGTGTACTCCTGGGCAAATTGCTTAACTTGGTTGGCTCAGTAAATTGGGGATAATGATGTCACCCACCTTCAGGGCTGTTGTGAGGAACAAATGAAATAATATTTGTAAAATGCTCTGCAAACTTTAAAATGTTATACAAATGTTTATCATTGTCATCATCTTGTCATCACTCATGCCACAGGTTTTTAGTGCCATGTGCTCTGGCAGGCACGTCATTCCAATTCAACATTTATTCAGCACCTACAATAGATAAGGCTATGTGCTGGACTTTCAGCATCCCAAGACACATAAAACATGGTTCCTGCTCTCAAAGAACTTACAGTCTAATGGGAGAAGGAGAATTAGAACAATAACTTTGATTTCAGGGAGAGAGATCTAAATAGAATCCCAGGTTTAGAGTTGGAAATGACTTTGAAGGCCAGTGAATCCAATCCCCTTGTTTTACAGATTAGGAAACCTTGGCTGATACCTTGGCTAGGTATCTGAGGCAGAATTTGAATTTGTTTTCCTGACTCCCCTAGCATGCTGTCAACTGTACCATCCACCAACTTGTAGTGCAGAGAAAAGGTCTGAGCAATACACTAAGAAATTTGTTATGAAAGATTTTGGGGCTTTGGTTCTGAAAGTAGTAAAGATTATAAACTGAAAGTTCTAATTCATTTGCAGGTATTTACAGGAACGTTACAAATACAATTATGACTTTGTGAATGCCATCAACACTGCTCAGAACTCCTGGACTGCTACCGTGTATGAGGAATATGAAAAATTTAATCTGGATCAAATAATTAAGAGAAGTGGTGGCCACAGTTATCCATTCCCCAGGTAATACCCTCTCAATTCTATCTTCTTTAAGAGCTCAAAACCATTGGATATCTTGTTTGCTCCTTTTCCCCACGTGCTTGTTTCTATTAATGGCACTAGATGCCATTCCCTTAGTCACCTTATCTTGAAAATCACATGCTCTCCTATCTTCCACCCAAACATTAGTCAAGTCTTACTAGATCTTTTGGAGTATCTCTCGCTTCTTACGTATATTTTGTATATACTTATATATGTCATTTTGTCTCCTTTCCCCACCCCCATCCTCCACAGAATATAAACTTCTTAAGGAAGCGACTGTTTTATTTTTGTCTTTGCATTCCCAACTTCTACATCTTAGTACTTAATAGTATCTTAATAAGTGTTTCTTGATTAATTAATTGATTAATTGATTGATGAATCCATCTCATTTTCTCCACCACACTACTACCACCCTAGTTAAGACCCTTATTATTTCTCACCTGGACAACTGAACAGTCACATATGATCTCCTTGCTTTTTATCTTGTATCAGGTACAGAGGCACCAAGTTAATCTCCTATAATACAAACAATCTTCAATGACTTCCCTATTACCTAAAAGAGTAAAATTGGCTTAATGGAGCAGTAGATAGAGGACTCTTGGACTTGTAGTCAGGAAGACCTGAATTCAAATTCAGCCTCAAAACTTATGAGCTGAGTGACCCTGGACAAGTCACTTAACCATTGCCAGCCTCAGTTTCTTCATCTGAAAAATGAAGATAACAATAACACCTACCTGCCAAGGTTGTTATAAGGATTAAATGAGAAAAGGCTTATAAAGTGCTTTGCAAACTATAAAGCACTATATAAAATGTTAGTCATTATTCTTACCATTGTTTAAAAATAATAGTAATGGTAATATCCCAACTCCTCAGCTTGGTGGTCAAGGCCTTCTATAATATGTTCCAAACAGATCTTCTCTCACTTCAAAAATCAAACAATAGCAGGTACTATGTTCCAGGTACTGTGCTAAGTGCTGGGGATACAAAAAGAGGTGGAAAAAAGAGAGTCCTTGCCCTCACAGTTTAATCATCTAAACAAACCCTGCTTTCATGCAGGCTGGAATACTTGCCAGTTCTTTAAAAATGCCCATTTCCCACAATGCCTTCCTTTCATCCTTCACTCCCTCCCCCATTCTGCCCCTGCAAATTTCTGGTTATCAGAATCCTTCTTGTCCTTTAATCACTTGGTTTTGCCTGTTAATTTCTCTCCATTCCCACCCAAAGATAAGATTGTAATTTAGAGGTAAGTACTCCTTATGACTGTACTGACTGTTCAAATACTTGTATTCATGATTATACAGTCTTGCTCTGCCCTCATCACTGACTTTCCTTACCTCACACTCCTCCTCTGTCTTCATCCAAAGTGGATTACTTCCATCCCCTGAACAATTAATGCTGTAGTTCCCTTTCCATTCCTAATGCTGCTCTATGTTCAATGAAAACCTTCTCCCACATTTCAAGCTATTTAGATTCTACCAATCCCTAGAAATCCAACTTCAATACCATCTTCTCCATGAATACTTTATTACATAAGGTCCCCTTGGAGACCTCAGAACACATTAGGATCAAAAGATCAGGGATTTGGAAACAGAAAAGACCTTAGAGGTCACCCAGCCCAACTCCCTCATTTTTATTTACTTTTCATTATTTTTATTCTGAATTTAAACATACAATAAAGAACATTTCCAAACACACAGAATACAAAAAGAAAAAGAAAAATAGCATGTGACACTATGAATATCCCTTTCATTCTGCTTGCTTTAAAAATAAAGAATATAATAAATTTCATACTTTACTTTCAAAACTGCCCTATTTGTCAAAACAAACAAATAGTCTGTTCTTCTTTCTGAACTTTCTTCTATTCCCTTCTGTGCATTTTTAAAAATATTTCAACAGTCCAACCCTCTCATTTTACAAGTGAAGTAAGTAACTTGGGCCAAAACAGGGTAAGTAATTTGACCCAGATCAGAAATATACTCAAGTCCTCTTACTCAAAAGTCAGAGAATGAGTGGAAGAGATGAGATTCAATTCCAAGTCTTCTGTTTCAAAAACCAGTATGTTTTCTATTATAATGTATAATATTGTTTTTACCCCTTTCCAGTGGTTATCGTCATACAAAGGAGTTACTATTGTCTTCTCCTGTAGTATTCTGCTGTCTAATCAAGGTTCAGAATTAGCCATGGATTTTTAAAGGCAATATCAATAGAGCTTAAACTTTGGTAGATCTCACCAAATTAGAATGGTTGAGGACATCAAACAGAGAGCAATGCACACATTCATGAAAAGCTAAATATCAATGATGATGGAAATACAAGAGGTGTCCCAAAACAGTAAGTGATTAGCTGCTATTGAAAACTCTGGAAAATGAGGAATAGAATTTATAGAATTCATAGATTTTTGAGCTGGAAGGGCCTGAAGAGTCTATCTACTTTAACTACTTCATTTTATAGGTAAGGAATCTGAAATACAGAGAGACTGTGGCTTGCCTGTGGCCATGAAGGTAATGGAGGCTTACTTTGAACCCAGGTCTTCTGATTCCAAATCTATTGCTCTTTCCCAAAGTCTGAAATGGCCTGGGAGCTGGAGGAGAAAGGATTTGCACAAAGTCTTGAAGAATATTTCAAGGCAAGGCTGAGGAGCATGTATTAAGTTTGGAATCAGCATGGGGCCTAGAGCTTGGAAGTATGGGTTGTAAGTCCACCTCTAATACATACCAACTGTATGGTGATAGGCAAATCACTTCCTGTCCCTAAAGCTTGGGTTTCTTCATCTGAAAAGTGGGAAGAATAATCTTTGCACAGCCTACCTTGCAGGATGGTGGTTTGAAAAGCACTTCATAAACCTCAGAGCAAATAGAAATGTCTCATTATTATTTAGAATAATAGCTAACTTTTATATAGAACTTGAAGGCTTGAAAAGTGCTTTTTATATGGATTATCTTATTTGATCCTCACAACAACCTTGTGAGGTAGGGGGTATTGTTATCCTCATTTTATAGGTGGGGAAACTTGAGGAACAAAAAGGTGACTTCCCCAGGATCATTCAGCTCGTGTTGGGTACAAGATTTGAACTCAGGTCTTCCTTACTTACAATCCAGGGCGTGAGCCACTACAGTTACCTAGCTTCCCTGAAATGGTACTTTATGACCTATTTTAGTTGGGGAATCTGTTCTGAACCTGCCTGTAGCATTTCTTTTCTTTTCTTTTTTAATTGGCCTCTACCTTCCTGCTTTCTTCTTCTGCCTCTCAGATAAAGTCCTTGGATTCTCTGAACTTAAATATCACTTTTAACAACGACAGTAATACTTCTACACTCTTTTTCCCTCTTTTTTTGCAGTCTTAATTAAAAAGAATGATTTCTTTAATTATTATTTAAGTGTGGTAGACAAAGGGACAGATAAGAATACCATCTAAAGTTAGTCCTATAGAACTGTCTTCTTATGTATTCTCATTAGTGTCTGGATATCTAGGTGCACACAGTGAGAGGAGACAGATGTTCCTGGCCTAACAAAACACAGACACATAGACGGAAAGATCTGTTTTGTTAAGAATTGCAAACCAAAGTGATTCTGAGGAAGAAAAATCTTCCCTTGGCCTCTTGTGTTTGCTCCATTTTTTTTTCTTTTGAGGGGCGGTCTGTACTCAGAATATACACTTATGAGGCTAAATAGAAGGACTGAGCTTGGGAGATGTTGAACAAAGAGAAAATTATTGAGGTGGAAATGGTTGTGTTGACTTTTAGCTGCTTTTAGAGATAAAACATGTTGGTTGCAAGGAGCAGATAAGATCATGGATGTAAAAACACTTTGAAAGGTGTAAATTTATTATTGCTGTTAGTATTTTAACCCCTTAAAGAAACACCCAATTTCCATCCTGCAATTTTAATTCCTAATTAACTCCTAATTAATTTTAATATTGACATTCCCAATTCCTTGTGGAATAAATAGGATATTTATGACTCTCAGTACTCTCTTTCTGAAGCCCATGACTATATTGGCAGTAAGAATATAATTGTGCTCTAATTATCATCTCTCCCCCAATTAGACTGTATCTCTATTTAAGGATGATTTGATAGTGTTTTTTGGGGGGAAAAAAAAACCTAAATCAGCAAAAACATTAGTCAAGATAAAATGTGCTTTGATTTTTTTTGGTGGATCAATGATCTTTATCAATCAATCAAAAAGCATTTATTAAACCTCAGGCACTGTGCTAGGTATTGTGGTCGTGATGATGAAAATGCAACAAGTTCTGTCCTTGAGGGGCTTTTTATTTTGTTGGGGAACCAATATATACATATGTGATGTATAAAAGATATACACAATATATGCAGTTATTTCAGAGGGATTGGAGAAATAGGGAGGATAAGGAATAACCTCATAGTGGATGGAGATAGAGCTGAGCTTTGAAGGGAATTAGTGATTTAAAGAGACAGAATTGAGGAAGGAGTGCATTTCAGGCAAGGGGTACAGTCAGTGCAGAGGCATGGAGACAGGAGATTATGATAATAATGGTGATAGCACTTTAAGGTTTGCAAAATACATGACATTTTATTTGGTTTACTTATGATATCTCATCAGTCTAAGGCAGTAGTTCTTAATTTTTTGTTGTTGTTGTTTTGTTTTGTTTTGTTTTGTTGGGTTTTGCCTTTTTTTTTTTTTAAACATGGGCTCCTTTGGCAGTCTAGTGAAGCTTGTGGACCCTTCTCAGAATAAACTTTTTGAACTCATAAAATACATTGAATTACAAAGGAAACCACTTACACTGAAATGCAGTTAACAAAACATTAAAAAAAAAAGTTCATGGAACCTAACATAAAACTTGCTTATTGAGGTATTCTTACATCATTTTATAATGCAAGCTACCCTATTCTTATCCTGTGTGACTCAATCATGTCCCTCCTCTACCCCAAATCCTTCTGCAGAAATATGCCCAGTGTTTTGGTGACCTCTTTCTCTTTTTAAGACAGATTGTAAACTCTTTGATGGCCAGGACCATGTTGCCCTCTCCTCCTCTCTCTAGTACCTAGCATAGTGCTGTAAATAATAACAACAGCAGCAGCAACAGCAAGCACTTACATAACGCCTACTATGTGTCAGGCACTATTCTAAGTACTTTACAAATATTATCTCACTTTGTCCTCACAACAACTCTGAGAGATAAATGCTAGTATTATCCTTGAGGAAATTGAGCTAAGCAGATGTTAAGTGATTTGTCCAACAATTTACAACTAATCTGAGGCTGAATTTGAACTAACATCTTCCTGACTCCCAATGTAGTGCTCTATCCAGTGTGTTGCCTAACTTCTACCATAGGTAATCACTAAATAATTGTTGATTAAGTGATCTCTTATGAAACTGATGAAACAGGTCAAGTCTATATATGACATATAGTTTTTCACATATCCTATAGTACATTAAATCTGTATAGTCACACACTTGACTGAAAGGTGCAAAGAATATAAGATTCTACTATGTTTATTCTTTATTTAAAAAAGCTATTGACCTTGTAGAGTAAATTGATTTTAAAGGCAGGGCTTCAAGGGCATTAGTATGCATAGATTAAGATCGTGTAAGAATCCTTGACAAATTCAGCCACAAAATAATTTGTTCAATAACCATATGGTTATTTATATTAGTTGAGGCTTTAAATTGGGAGACATACGCTTGCCATAAGAGTTTGTCATTGCCATGGAGAATGTCTCCCAATGATGGAATCTCTAGAACTTAGGCCAGTGCTTGACACATAGTAGGCACTTAATAAATACTTGCTGATTGATTAAAGAAGAGCATCCTGTAAATAATGATGTTCTCTAGATGATTTTATTTGCTAATGACATGATATTGATTGTATCATGATCCAGAACTTCATAAGACTTCCTCAATTAGATGATAATAATAACTAATGTTTATGTAGTACTCTAAGGTTTGCAAAGTGCATTACATGTTATTAAATTTGATCCTCCTATTTTACAGACAAAGAAACTGAGGCTTAGAGATGTTAAGAGACTTACCCGATACAATGAATAATAAAGTGATTGGCCTGATAGTAAAGGAAAAGATAAATGAATCAGTATATGTGTACATAAGTTTGGGACAGATTCCTCAGGTGGGCAATAAATTGGGCCAGAATTGAAACAAATGAAGAAAGTGGGTTGGATTGCATTTCAGACACTATGTAATGCTTTGTACTAGTCATAAACTGTTCCCCAGTATAATGTCTACCCTTTTAACACAAATATTTTCCCAGTGATGACCATTTCTCCTCTCTGTGGTTGTGAACTTTGAAACATCACAGTCTTTGAGAAGCTAAAATTGCAGGTTACCCAGAAAGCAATGGAGAAACAGATACATGGTAGGTAGAAGTAGGCTGTAGCATATATCCAGTGATAAGCTATAGTCAGAATGGATGTAAAGGGGATATTATTAGAGAAATGTATGATTGGAAAAGGAGGTGTGAGCAAAGGATGGATAAGAGGTAGCCTATGTGCTCTGTTGGTATCCGTGACACATAAGAAGTCCCAAACCATGGGCTTGATGCGCGGTAGGTAGATCCTCGATAGAATATGTATGGAAGAATATGAACAGAATGAGAAAGCGTGGATGAGTAGTTTTCATTACTGAAAGGAATTCCACATCAAAAAAATCACGTCCATTGAAATTTTAATGTTTAACTCTTTAGCAATTCAACCCTATTCTATAAAGCTCGGAAGATAATCATATATAACTACCAACAACCATACCCCCTCGCATGTCAGTTTTGCTTATATACTTTACATGTTAGATTTTAGTACAAGAACAGGGACTATGTCTTAGTTATCTTTTTATTGTTCACAGCACCAAGCACAATGCAGCAGTAAAACGTACCAAATTCAATTGTATCAAATGGAAACACTAGCATATAGTTCATGGTGAAAGTATCACTAGTCTTCCCAAGGGCCACATCCAAATATGAACCACAAAGGCGTTTGCATTGGAAATAGCATTCCTGTATGGGTAGCTGCATAGGTGATGTTGACCATTTTTTGGAAATTTCTAAGTATATTATGATATTCATCTTGTGGTGTTTCATTTCTTTCTTCCTTTCTGTTTAGAAATTGGCACATTTCTCTTACAAAAAGAAGTATATGGAAGAAAGGGGGGGTGGTTAGAGGGGATGATAAAGGCTTACAGCAATGCTTCTTATCCTTTTTTGTGCCATGGACCTCTGTGGCAGTCTTTTGAAGCCTATTGGACCCCTTCACAGAGTAATGTTTAAAATTTATAAAAATGCATTAGATTAAAAGGAAATCAATTATTTTGAAATATAGCTCCCCAAAAAACATTTTTTAAAGTTCATGCACCCCAGCTTAAGAACCCTTAGCCTGTAGAAATCTTGTCAAAAGCATGAATTGGCGACTGGTCTAAATCAATCTGTGGATCAACTGAGCTGCTAATATATTTGTTTAGGGTTGGGTTTTTTTTTCCTTTCTCCTCCCCTAACCTCCTTAATTATACACAGCAAGTTCAGTCATTTGTCTGTCCACAGACCTGCTGTCTCTAAGCTATGTTACATGAGCCGTGACTAAAGTTATGACCCTGATTTTCATGTATATCTTGCCCGATTAGTCTAACTACAGTTTAGTCATGCCTTAATATAAATGTATTAGGGTGTCTCCAACTATTCATCTTTCCTTCTCTCTCTATCATGGCTATTGGCCATCTTACCTGCCCCATTCCCTTGTTAAAACTTGTTAGAGGAAAGTGAGAAAACGTAAGATGTAAAGGTGTGTCAAAGATGTCGATTACCCAGGTGCTAGGTAATCGGTACTAAATAAATGTTTGTTGAATTGAATGTTTTTTGACTTATCACATGGCAAACCACAGTGTCAGCTTTCCATTCTCTATATTAATGCAAGAAAACAAAGTCTGAGAAAACAAAAAACGATGACTGATCTCCAAATTACTTCTTATTATAATGTAATTAGAAATACATGGTCAGTCTCATTCACACACACACACACACACACACACATACATATTTACTCATCCACCTTCCTTGTGGTTGGCCTAGGATCCAAGCTATTGGAGTAGCTGTGGTAATAAAGATGGAGGATATGCATAATCTACAAAATGAATAACTGAAGCTTGACTAAACGCTGATCTATGTATATTTCTTTTTCAGACCAAAACCTGCACCATTGACCCATGAAGTACTTCAAAAAACTGTAACTCTGCCAAAGTCTTGGGACTGGAGAAATGTTAATGGTGTCAACTATGTTAGCCCTGTTCGAAACCAAGGTAAAAAAAATGTCCCTTTGGATCTGAATCTGGGAAGGAATGATTGCTGACAGTTTAGGATTAAAAGGACTTGCTTTTCCCTTTGCAAATAGGTAACCTGGTTTTGTTATATTGGAGAGTGTCATTGGATCTCTGATCTACCCACTGTCCCGGAGCGCTTAGCTAATATTTAAGAATTCGAGCATGCAATGGGGCTTTGCCAACTTAAAGGTCACATTGCTAAGTTAACTGTAACCTGACTTTCCAAATGGAGGACTTTGATTGGAGCCATGCTTCTCCAAAGCAACTGGACTTTCACAAGTTATTTGTATAAATTTGGTAGAAGAGGTGTGACCTTAATAATTTTCCCCCCAATCAGTTCTGGCAGCAAATTATCCTCTATTTTTAGTCAGTAGTCATTTGACCAATTATTTATGGTATGCTCAGGTTTATTACTTTTAGGATCATTTTGGAGCTAATCACTCTACACGTGACTGATCTTTTACTATGAAATAGGTGTGGAGTTTGTCATCTGAAAACCAGCACATTTAGTAAATGTCTTTTGGGGGTCCCATAAATTCTCCACATATATGGCCAATTGTTCTTCACCTTTCTTGGACAAATAGTTAAATATCTAGTATTGTATACCCAATTTAATTAGATTTATCACCTTCCCGAGTCCCAGTGAGTGTCTTGATCTTATGCAATCACTATTTCCCCGTTCCTTAATTTCCTCAATTATAAAATGAAGGGGTTGGACGTGGTGGATTCTGAGGTCCCTCCAGGTTCTGGATCTGTAGGCCAATGACTTCAACTTTAATGTCAGAGACTTTATCTTACTGCTTTTCCTAAAGGCCAACCCTCCCTGCCATTTAGAGGTAGCTAGGAGGTACCATGGTTAGAGCACTGGACCTCAAGTCAGAAAGTTCGGATCCAAGCCCAAACACTTAATTCTTGTGTGACCTTGGGCAAGTCACTTAATCTCTGTCTGCCTCCATTTTATCATCTGTAAAATGAGGACGATCGTATCACCAATATCACCTACTTGTTGTGAGGATAAAATGAGACAGTATTTGTAAAACACTTTGCAAACCTGAAAGCATTATGTAAATACCAGTTATATCAAGTCAGAAAGTCTGTATAGTTTCAGTGCTCCCTGCCGTACCTTCTTTGGGAATGGGCCTCTATGGGATGATAGAAATAAAGATGAGGGAGGACTGAAAGAGATAGGAGTGATTTAGCTGGAGATATAAGTGACAAAAGAAGAGATTCCTTGTTACTAGAGGCACTCATTTAAGAGGCAAAAAACTAGAAGGAAGCTCCTAAAGCTAGCCCTTTGGTATGATTTCCTTCTGGCCCGGGTTAGCATTGTTCCAGTCACCTCATTATTCTCATTTTGGTATTTTGGACATTCCTTTATTGCAGAAAAGACACAATGTGACTCTGGACTCACCCATAACCTACACCAACAGATACTTGGAAAAACAGAGCTTCCACAACTTCTCCTTTTGACTTCCTCTTGATTTTTAGTGTTTTAAAGAGGGGGAAAACAGGGACTAATTCTTTTGATTTTCTCTTCCTTCATCTGGGCAACTTGGAAATTTGTGCTAACTGTAAAGATGTCAGCATTCTATCAACCCCAGGAATCAGCAGAATTCGTAGAATCAACCATAGCGCAAGGAAATCCACAGCTTCTCCTTCCAGAGAACAGCAGGGCCCTTTCCCACGGTGGAGGCAGCCCAGTCTTTTTTTCATGTTGGGCAGAAAAGGCTCTCCCTAAATCAGAACAGCATGCATTTGAACCCATTTGAAGCTCAGTTCTTTCTATATTTAAGAGGAAAAAAGGTAAGTTCCCCGGATCAAAAGGAGCTAATATAGTCTCTGCTTCTCCCAGCCTAGGAATAATTTGTGTATGCTATTCATGTTATCATCTTTGAGATTCTACATTTATTAAAGAAAAGTAACCAGTAGCAAAAGCAATGGACATCTTTATCTCCTAATATGTTACGTTTACTCTAGGAACTCTGTTCAGCTTGAAGGAGGGGATGGTTGGGGAGGGGGAGGAGACTCCTGTAAGAGAGCTTGCCTGTGTGTTTATGAGAGACAGACAAGGAGAGCATCAGAAAGTGAGTATGGAATAAGGTTGGTTGCTTGGTTGGTTCTTGCCATATAGAGTCAGTTCTAAGAGGCCAGTCTATTTGTTTTCTTCCAGGGATTTTTTGGAGAGATAGGCAGAAAGCTCCTCTGTCCCATTGAAGTCCTGATTCTGAATGCTTTTTCTTAAGAATTACATAGTTAGAAAGCTGGAAGGGACGTGAGAGAGCATCTAACCTTACGTGGTCTTTTTACAGATAAGGAAAATGTGACTCAGTTATGTAAAGTTGTTATGTTAATTTTAAATTAATATAATATGTTACTGTTAAAGCAAAGATTAGCAGGGGTGGGGAACCTGTGGCCTCGAGGCCACATGTGAAGCCCTCTAGGTCCTCAAGTGCAGCCCCTTTGAGGACCAAGAGGTCCACACGTGGCCTCGAGGCCTCAGGTTCGCCACCCTTGGACTAGAGTACTGATCTCCTGATAGGATGAACAGTCAGCTGCTGTGGCTATAGCTCAGTGATAATAGCCAGTATTTACTTAGCACTTCAAAGTTTGTAAAGTGCTTTACAAGTAGCTCAGTTTATCTTCACAATAACTTTGGGAGGTAGATTCTATTATCCCCATTTTACAAATGAGGAAACCAAGGAATACAAAGGTTAAGTGATTTACCCAGGGTCACTCAGCTAGTAAGTGTCTGAGGCCAGATTTGAACTCAGTTCTCCCTGAGGTCTAGTGCTCTATCACTGTACCTTGTAGCTATCCAATAAAGACAGATAAAGTCTTCCCACAGGATTGGAGGTAAATTTAAAGATCTAAGAGCCCAATATATCTCCCTTTGAGGAATAGAGGAGAAACTCATTTGAAAATTGATAGGGATATGAAGCAATTGGATGAGGGTTGAGGGGAGTATTTACTAGTTGTCTTCTTCTCCTGCTACTGGTGAGTAACTGGTTATGATTTAACCCTATCTGCCCTGGCAAAATAAGCAGGGTGGTGCATTGAAGAAGATGTTAAATTTGGAGTCAAGTGACCTTGGTTCAAGTCCCAATATTGCCACTTGCTACCTGGGTGACCTTGGACAAAGCCTCTAACCTCTTTGGGCTTCAGTTTCTTCATCTATAAAATGAGATGCTTGTACTAGATGGTCCCTAAGGTCTTCCAGTTATGAATCTCTAACCATATTTCACACTCCTTTTCGACCCTGAATCTCTAACCACATCTCTGCTCCAAATGCTCGTATGGACATTTGTGTCTCACCTGTGGCAGAGCCTTCCGAGCTCATATTGGTCTGATGAGTCACAGTTGGACACACTGTACTTTGACCTCTACATATGATATCATTTTGATCCTCTTTGAGAATGAAAGACAACAACCAACCAATCTTATTCCATACTCATTTTCTGATTCTCTCCTTTTCCATCTCTCACAAACACACCGGCAAGCTCTCTTAAAGGGGTCACCTCCTCCCAAACCATCCCCTCATGACTGGTCATAAGCCCATGTAGCCCGATACTAAACACACTCTCTGTACCTCCTGAAGCTTTTTTGCCTGACATTTGTTTGAGTTTGAACTTCCTGAGAGAAAGAAGAAAAGATTAAAAGAAAATCTAAAGGAAAATTATGAAGTCCCAGTTGCGTCTTCTGTATGGTGCTAAGCCTTTAAAAAGACATTAACAGGATAATGAGTTTTACATACTGCTTGGCCATGTAGTTGTGATTCTGTGTGACTGCATGGAAGGATGACACTTGGAAGGATTCACATATCTTGTCTGTCCCTTTCTGTTTCTCCAGGAAAGTGTGGCAGCTGCTATGCTTTTGCTTCCATGGGTATGCTGGAGTCAAGAATTCGTATCCTAACCAATAATTCCCAGTCGCCAGTGTTAAGTCCCCAGCTGATCGTGTCTTGCAGCGAATATTCTCAAGGTAATAATAAAAAAATTATTAATGACAATTAATAATTATTAATAACATTTATGTAGCATGTTAAATGCCTCTGGCTAAATTGCAGCTAAGAAAATGTAATGTGATAAAGGGCCCATTATAATTGATCACTAAGATTTGTTGAATACTGCATGAGCCACATAGGAAAGGGGCCCTTTCCTTTTCTGTGGGCATCCATGAGATGAACCAGAAATATTCCCATGAGGCCCATTAAGCTTTGCCTGAAAGCTACAGGCATGGTGTAGTGGAACAATGACTGACTTTAGAACTTGAATATGATACTTAATAAAAACAAAATGATAACTCATATTTGTATGCTCTTTGATTTGCAAAGCACTTTACATAACCACTAAGAGACAACATGGTGAATTAATCAGTCAGGGGAGGATAGAAGAATAGATTTAGATCTAGAAAGGACTCTAGAGGTTATCTGGTCCAAACTCTTCATTTTACAGATGAGTAAATCAGCAAGCAATTATTAAGCAACTAGTATATACCAAGCCCTGTGCTAAATGCTAGGCATATAGACACAAAAGGGAAAACAATTCCTGCATCCCAGGAACTTATATCCTAGCAAGGAAAAGGGGTGCAGCATATACAGATATAACTATATCTATAATATTTTTTTAAAAGTGAACACAGTGTAGTTTGGAGAGGGAGTGCTCCAACTGCTTGTGGGGGGGGGGGTGTCAGGATAGACTTTATGCTGAAAATGGTAATTGAATTGAAATTTGAAGGAAACTCTGACTTGCAGGAGGTACAGGTCAGGAAGGAGCACATTCCAGGGTTGGAGAACAGTCAATGGAATGACATGGTAGGAAAAAAAATGAAGTATAATGTATGAGGAAGGGAGAGTAACTGAATTTGGAAGAACCATAGAGTATATGCATAGAGGAATGGATTTTATAAGTAGCAAAGATAAGAAGGGTCAGTTTGCACAAGACTTTAAATACCAAATGGAAGACTTCATAATTGATTCTAGCCTTAAAATGGAGGAAACATTGAAGATCATTGAGCAGTGGGGTGACATGTTCAGAAATATGCCTTAGCTCTTTGGCAGCTATGTGGAGGATAGAATGGGGTGGAGAGAGATTCAAGGAGGGGAGACTGAATAATAAGTTGTTGCAATAGTTCATGGAAAATGAGAGAGGGCACCACAAAGTTGGAGAAGGGCAAATTTTGTCCAGATTTTCAAAAAATGGAATAGAAGAGTCTGCAAACTGTAGGTCAGTGGGATTTACTTTGATTTCTGGGAAAATTCTAGAAAAGCAAGCGGTGATTACAAAGACCCAGCACGGCTTCTTCAGAAATAGGTCATATCTATTTATTTTCTTTTTTGACAGAAATACTAAACTGGTAGATGAAGGAACATCTTTGAATATAGTCTACCTAGATTTTAGCAAAGTTTTGGATAAAGTTTCTCATATTATTCTCATGGAGAGATGAAGAGGTATGGATTAGATGATGATATAGTAGAGGATTCAGAACTAATTGGACAGACTGACTCAAAGAGTAATTTTTAATGCCAGATAGGTGGTGCACTGCATAGAGGACCAGGCCTGGGGTCAGGAAGACCTGAGTTCAAATTGACCTCAGGTACCTAACTGGAATCGGCCTCTTGCACTTATTTGCAATTCACTTAACCTCTATTTGCTTCCATTTCTTCAACTATAAAATGTCAGGAGTAATAGCACCCACTTCCCAGGGTAGTTGTCAGGATCAAGTGAGATAACAGTTGTAAAGTGCCATAACACAGTGATGGAACATAGTAAGTGCTATATAAATGTTCTCTGCTATTGTTGTTGTTATTATTATTAATGGTTTAATGTCATTGTGGCAAAGGTCTCCAATAGAGTATTTCTGGGGTCTGTGCTATTTGATATTTTCATCAGTAATTAGGATAAAGGCATAGATGATTTACTCATCAGATTTGTAGGTGACACAAAACAGGAAGGGACAACTGGATGAGAGTTAGGATCCAAAAGGATCTTGACAGAGTGAGAGCATTGGATTGAATCCAAAAAGATGAAATTCAGTAGGGATGAATATAAAGTTTTCCATTTGGGGACCAAAAATCCCTTTCACAAGTACAAGATGGCAGAGGCATGGATGGATAGACAATTGCTTTGAAAAACAAATCTTGGTGTTTTAGTGCAGGACTTCTTTTTTTTTTTGGTTTGTTTTGTTTTTTTTGGTGAGGCAATCAGGGTTAAGTGACTTGCCCAGGGTCACACAGCTAATACGTGTCAAGTGTCTGAGGCCGCATTTGAACTCAGGTCCTCCTGACTCCAAGGCTGGAGCTCTATCCACTGCACCACCTAGCTGCCCCTTAGTGCAGAACTTCTAAAACTTTTCCACTCACCACCCCTTCAGTACTTCTTAAATTGTGGGTTGTGACCCCAGGTTACTGGACTATAAGCTGTATGTAGGTGTTGTATGTATGTTTGTATAATAAGACTGTAAGACTATGGGTCAGCAGTGGGATGGGACAGCCAAGAAAGCCAGTGCAATTTTAGGCTACATGAAGAGAAATTCATTGAGAAAGGAGGGAGAATATCTGAGGGTCGATAAATATCAGTTACCAGGATGATAAATTTGGAAAGAGTGAAGCAGGAAGAAGGGAAGGTTGCTAAGTAATGGCTGTCGAATGGAAGTCTGGAAATGACAATGGAAAGGGAGGAGGATTCTGACTGTCATGACTAGTACGTGGTAAGGTTCAACCAGTAAGAGAAAGGATAGCCAAGGTTGAATCATCATTTGAAAGGAACTAGTCCTCATTGAAAGCAAGAATTGAAAGGAAGGTGAAAGGACAAGGTCTAAAATGAAAGAAAATTTATTAATGATAGAGCAGGAGTTCCTGAAGGCATATGGTGGAAGCAGCTGGCTGGTAGGAAATAGAACATGGTGGGGGCAAGGTTGAGTTTGATGGGGATGAGAAAGTGGACATCCCTCATTGGTAGAAGGAGTTTGATCTTTGACAGTGAGGGATTCAGTATCACAGGGATTGGGAATGTAAGACTATGGGAGTTTGCTGAGGATTGGGCAGTGAGTATAAGCAGAGTAAATAGGAGCAGATAAGCTATCTAAGGCAGGTGACTAAAGTATTCAAGGTCTGGGACCATCCTTATGATTCTCCACCCCAGGTGTTCTTCCCTGGGGAATTTTGCTCATGTCACAGAAGCAAGGATCTAATGTTCTGATATTATAGAAAGATCTTTTGACCTGGAGTCAGGAGAAACTGAATTCGAATCTCAGATCTGACAATATTAGCTTTGTGGCCAGATTAAGTTATTTGTAAACCTAAACCACTTTATAAATGTTGGTTGTTGCTATACTATCTCATTCAATTTAATTTTTTGCTTGTTAGCTGTGTACTCTGGAGCAAGCCATTTAACTTTGCTGGTCTCATTTTTCTCATTTGTAAAATTAGAGAGTCAGATTAAATGACCTGTAAGGTTCCTTCAAAGCACTAAATTCTATGTCTCTGTGACATGTCAAAATTTGTCTTCCCCCAAATTTTGACTTGTAAGCACAAGTTTGCTTTTTATTCTCCTTTTAGCTTTTTGAACAGGCCAAACCTAGGTTATAAGTACAAATCCCCATGGGGACTTAACGATGATGGAATATTGCCCAACATAAAAAGTTCCCCAATTCACATGCTGCTGCTATGAATTTGTTCCAGCTTAGCTGGGAGACAGTTCTGGGAAAATGGTAAAACCTGCCAGACATACTTTTTCTGTTTCTAAGAAATGTAGAGAAATTAATTAATTCATGGGCAGCAGGAAGGAAGGAAGGAAGAATAGTGAGAAGTAGGCATCTTTTCAGTAGATGATCATAACTTAATGTGCTTTTTTTACTACCCTCCTTAGGCTGTGATGGGGGCTTCCCATATCTCATTGGGGGAAAGTATGCCCAAGATTTTGGGCTGGTGGAAGAGGAATGCTTTCCGTACGAGGCCAGTGATTCTCCATGTACCCCAAAAAACTGCACTCGCTATTACACCTCGGAGTACCACTATGTGGGAGGCTTCTATGGAGGCTGCAACGAAGCCCTGATGAAACATGAGCTGATTCAGAAAGGACCCATGGCCGTTGCTTTTGAAGTATATGATGACTTCATTCACTACAAAGCAGGCATCTATCACCACACAGGGCTGAGGGACATTTTTAATCCCTTTGAATTGACCAATCATGCTGTTCTTCTCGTAGGCTATGGCACTGATGAAAAGAGTGGTGAGGATTACTGGATAGTTAAAAATAGTTGGGGGACAAGTTGGGGTGAGAGTGGCTACTTCAGAATCCGCCGAGGCACTGATGAATGTGCCATTGAGAGCATAGCTGTGGCTGCTATGCCAATTCCCAAATTGTGAGGCATTTCTTCATCCATCTCAGTCCATCTCCATAGATTAACTCAGGAACAATGTAAGATTTCACTAGAGCTTTTTTGAAAGCTTCTGTGTAGAGCATGATGAATTATTTCCTCTTAAAACTCAAGGGTGCCCACTAAGCTCCAACCCCACTTTGGGTATGAGTCTCTATCAAAAGAATTTTTTTTATCAAGAACACTGTTAAATTATGTTTACAGGGTTATAGAGAACAGTGGAGAAATGAATGCTAATGGTCATTTGTAATTTAAAGAGATGTTTAAAAAAAAATTGTGCCTTATGTTTGCAAAACCGCCAGATTGTACAAAAATGGATTTTGTTGTATTAATCAAGAGGGGAGTGATTGTGTTCATTAAAAGGGATTTTTTTGCTTAACAAATGTTCAAGTGAAACCTCAGACGTGTTATGGCTTGTATATTTCAGAGAATTTTTATACATGGAACTTTAAAAATTATTGGAAGCAAAGGGACTCTTGTATAATTCATTTTCACAATCGAAGCACTGAGTTATTTACTGAATCTGTATGATGGATATCTGTCCTCTTCTTTGTCCCTTCCTTCATAGTATTGAACAATGCCTGGAGTGATTGCAGACTGATTGTCTTTCTTTGTGGGTCCAGAGGCTAGGGTTGGAGGGAGTATGGACATGGGGAAGAGGGGTATGGGTGAATTTTGGTAATGTATACCAAGTGTTTAGAAGGGGCTGTCTTAAAGACTCATCTGGTGTACCATTTGCCAAGCTAGGAGAGCCGAAACAACGTGATTTTTTTTTAAATAATGAAATCTAACTACTTGAAAGTATCAGTAACAGAAAGAAGATGCTACTATCCATATATTAGCATTAGCATGTCTCCCCTCTCCCCCACCCCAGGTGGGATGCAGCAGTGAAAACTATCCTTCCCTTCCCCTCCTCTACCACCACTGCCAGAGCAAATTCTATAGAAGCATTCAGGGTGAAGGATACAGCTAAGAGTAGAAAGACTAGTAGCACTAGTTTCACTCCCTTGGTGGCTTTCCGGGAAGAACAAGAAGAAAATTCATGAATTGGGCTTTTTTTTAATGCTTTGTGTGTTCTTTCATCTTTATGCCTCAGCTCTTAGCATAGTGTTTCATGCTCAGTAAGTGATTAGGAAACTTGAATTACATGCCAAAGTTTAAATAATAATTAATCTCATCTTTTTGTCTGGATTTTTCTATGTGAAAAGTCATGCTGATCTTTACTCCCTGGTATGTACAAGAGAAAATATATGAAATTCAGACATTTTTTAACTGTGTATGGCAATTTCATTTGTTAATAGTCACTGATGGTCAATAATATATATACACATATATAATAGGTAGGTAGATTTGAAATCTAAATACAAATAATAAATCTGTTCATTATGTTCTCTAGGTCATTAGCCAACCACACGCATAATATTCTCAATCACACCACTTTATAAGACATATTACTGCCCTGCTTCGTTACGGGTACCAGCTGAGTATGAACTAACAGCTTTGTTTCTTAAGAGTACAAGGAATGACTGCATAAATTATGTAATTGGAAAAGGGTTTATACCTATAAAGTTTAAATCCCACAGTGACCTGGCAAGATTCAGCATATAGAAGTCCCTCAAATGGAGTAAAGTATTCTATGATGATATCACTGCACAGAGAGGGTACTGTTGTAAAGCATGCTTATTTAACGTGGGAATTTAGTGTGCCATTTTTTTATATTTGTCCCTTCATTTCAGTTTTGTTCAATGGGAAGAACAATTTGCCCCTAAGCAGAATTCATTAGATTGTGGCTTTAGTCCAGCTAGTAGATAAAAGATAGACACCTGAAAGAACTGAGAGGAATACCTTTGACGTGGAGAAGGTAACATGGGCAAGGGCATTTCCAGGGAAAAAAATAAAGGTGAATTATCACATTGTCAAAATTTACATTCGCAACTATTTACAGAATCTTAGAAGAGCATCCAGTCTCTACACCATCCATCTCTTACAACTGGTTGTCCCATCATTAGATTATAAGATCTTTGAAGGCAGGGTCTGTCTTTCACCTTTCTTTGTATCTTTGGTGCTTAGCACTGTTCCTGCCACATATCAGATGCATAATAATTGGAAGTTCTGGAGACAGTTCATTCCACTTTGGGACAGCTTTAATTGTCTTTTTTTTTAACACTTTTATTTATTTTGTTAAATATTTCACAATCACATTAAAAAACATTTTTAACATTTGTTTTTGAAATTTTCTCCCCACCAATCAAGAAGGCAAGCAATATGATAATGATTATACTTGTGAAGTCATGCAAAACATATTTCCATACTGACCAAGTTGCAAAAGAAAACAAACACTCGCCAACCCAAGAAAAATAAAGAAAAATTTTTTAAAAGTATGTCTCAATTTGCATGCAGAGTTCAGTTGTCTTTCTGGAGGTGGAGAGCATTTTTCATTATAGGTCCTTTAGAATTATCTTTGATCATTGTCTTGACCAGAGTAGTTAAGTCTTGCATAGTTGCTGTTACTGTGTACAATATTCACCTGGTTCTGCTCACTTGACTTTGTATCAGTTCACATAAGATTTCCCAGGTTTTTCTTGAAAGCATTCTGCTCATTATTTCTTATAGCACAATAGCATCCAATCATAATTATATACCACAACTTGTTCAACCATTCCTCAATTGATGGGTATTCTCTCAATTTCTAATTCTTTGCCACCATAAAAAGCTGTTATAGATATCTTTGTATATATAGGTCTTTTTTTCCCTTTTCTTTCATCTCTTTGGGGTACACACCTAGTATTGGCATTGCTAAGTTAAGGAGTATGTAGTTTTATAGCCCTTTCAGTGGAGTTCCAAATTGTTCTCCACAATGGTTGAACCAGTTCACAACTCCACCAACAATGCATTAGTGTCCCAATATTTCTACATCCTCTCCAGCATTTGTCATTTTACTTTTCTGTCATGTTAGCCAAATCTGATAGGTGTGAGGTGGTACCTTAGAGGTGTTTTAATTTGCATTTCTGTAATCAATAGTGATTGAGAATATTTTTCATGTGACTATTGATAGATTTGATGTCTTCTGAAAATATCCTGTTCATATCCTTTGACCACTAATCAATTGGGAAATGACTCATTTTTTATAAATTTAGCTCAGTTCCCTATATATTTGAGAAATAAACAGAGAAACTCTCTGTACATTCCTCCACTCCCATCCCCATTTTCCTGTTTTCTTTTTAATTTGGCTGCATTACTTTAGTTTGTGCAAAACCTTTTTGATTTCATGTAATCAAAATGATCCATTTTGCTTCATATGATCCTCTCTATGTTTTGTTTGGTCATAAACTCTTCCCTTATCCATAGATCTGACTGATACATTTTTTCCATGTTCCCCTAATTACTTATGATATCACCCTTTCTTTTTAAATCATTTACCCATTTTGATCTTATCTTGGTACAGTGTGAGATGTTGGTCTTTGTCTAGTTTCTGCTAAACTGCTTTCCACTTTTCCCAGCAATTTTTGTGAAATGATGAGTTCTTGCCCCAAAAGCTTGGTTCTTTGTGTTTATCAAACACTAGATTGCTTTGGTCATTTATTACTCTGTATAAAGTGCCTACTCTATTGCACTACTCCACTACGCTCTTTTTCAGCCAGTACCAGATTGTTTTGATTATGGTTACTTTGTAATATAGTTTGGAATATGGTATTGCTAAGTGCCTTCCTTCACTTTTTTTAATTGATTCCCTTAATATGCTTGATCTTTTGTTTTCCCAGATGAATTTCGTTATTTTTTCTAGCTCTATAAAATAATTCTTTGATGGTTTGATTGATATGGCACTGAATAAATTGTCATTTTTATTGAATTTTATAGAATTGTCATTTTTAGTATATTGGCTTGGCCTACCCATGATCAATTAATATTTTTCCAGTTATTTAGATTTGACTTTATTTCTGTGAAAAATGTTTTGTAATTGTGTTCATATAGTCCCTAGGTTTGTCTTGGCTGGTAGAAGCCCAAATGTTTTATATTGTCTGCAGTTATTTTAAGTGGAATTTCTTTTTCTATCTCTTCCTGTTGGGCTTTGTTGGCAGTATATAGAAATGCTAATGATTTATGTGAGTTTATTATCTATCTTGAAATTTTGTTAAAGTTATTAATTGTTTTGACTATATTTTAGTTGATTATCTAAGGTTCTCTAAGTATACATATCAATATATCATTTTCAAAGAGTGATAATTTTGTTTCTTCTGTGCCTATTTTTATTCTTTCAATTTCTTTTTCTTGTCTTATTGCTATAGCTAGCATTTTCAGTACAATATTGAATAATATTAATGGTAATGGACATCCTTGCTTCACTCCTAATTTTATTGGGAAGGCTTCGAGCTTATCCCCATTATAGATAATGCTTCCTCTTATCTTCAGATACATATTACTTATCATTTTAGAAAAGGTTCCGTTTATTCCTTTGCTTTCAGGTGATTTTTAAAAGGAATGAGTGTTACATTTTTTCAAAAGCCTGTTTGTCTTCTATTGATATGATCGTAGGATTTTTGTTGTTTTTATTATTGATATGAATTATCCCTATAGTTTGCCTAATATTTAACCAGCCCTGCATTCCTGGTATAAATCTTACCTGGTCATAGTGTATGATTCTCTATGACAGTTCTAATTGTTACAGAGCTCTTCTTTGTAATGGATCATTCCTTACATGAATCACCTCCCAGTTCTGTCCTGGGCTATGCAGAACAAGTTTATTTCCTCTTCTACTTAGGTTTATTCAAAAGTTTTAGGGATTTAGCACTCACTTGGCTAATCTGAATAAACAAGCCTTAGGTCCTATTGTTAAAGTAGTTTTAAAATTTTCAAAGGAATGTTCTCTAATAGCTTATACATAAAGAGGGTAGGAGTGGATGGGAAGGAAATATGCATTTATATAGTGCCTTCTGTAAGTTAGATACCATGCTAAGCACTTTACAAATATTTCCACATTCAATCCTTGAGACAACTATGTAAGGTAAATAGCTGCTACTGTCTTCATTTTACCATTGAAGAAACTGAGGCAAACACGTTAAGGGACTTACCCTAGGTCATAAAGCTAGTAAAGTGTCTGAGACTGGATTTGTACCCTGGCCTTCCTGATTCCAGGCCCAGAGCTCTATCTACTATACCATCCTGCTGCCTAGCATCTTTACTAGTATTTTCTAGGTTCATTTTGTTGTTCTGCTTAAGTCTGAAGTCAAATTGATATTTGGGCTACTACTATAAATAAATTTGGACTACTTTCAAAGTGTTATGGGGGGAAAATAGGAACCAAAATCATTTCTTGACATTTTGATGGACTAACACTATAGAAATTCCCCAACTGCCTGGTGGCCTAATAGTGGAAAGAAAGGAAAAATAAAACACAACAAACTATGTAAAGTGAGTAGTCTTATCCGCTGTTGCAACAACTGTTTGTTGTTGTTGGATTAGAGATACCTGCAGTCACGTCTAAATGGTTACCTCAATCCTATAGTTTTGTCTAAAAGGACTTTTTTCATAGTTGTAAAAATATTTGGTCACATCCCTTTTTCTCTTACCCTTGAAAGTGAATGTCTTCTCATGCCAATAACTGTAACAAACTCTCTCAGCCACATGGCAAAAGTTCTTTCCAGAAGCCCCCCTTTTTCTCTCTTGAATGATTCTCCTTTTCTCTACCTTTCCCTCTACTGGGAGAAGTGTTACTTATCTGACTAATCTAAGTTGCCACAAAATGCTGCTGATTGACTGTAATCTGAATGGGCAGAAAAGTTATGAAAATTCTCATCTGTACTCTAGGAAGCTGAAGCTGCTCTCAGCAGTTTCTTTAGCATGCAAATGCATCTTTACTTTCAGTTTGGCCTCCTATCCTTGACTCACTTGAATCATCCAACCTCACTCATGGCTGTACATAAGGCTGTGCCTTGGACTTTTGGCTCTCTCTCTCTCTCTCTCTCTCTCTCTCTCTCTCTCTCTCTCTCTCTCTCTCTCTCTCTCTCTCCTTGCCATTATTGATGGTGAAAAGCTTGTTATAAAAATCTCTACAAACCTTTTCCATTTTTCTGTTTGTTGTACTCCTATTCTCATCTTTAACTGCCCTCAGATTGATTTTGCTTAGTTAAGTTTATCACCAAGATTTATTTAAACCAGAAATATTAACCTGGGGTCACAAACTTGATTTTAAGATACTTTGATAGTGATATTTTAATATTTTTTTCCTTTACAATGCCATATAGCTTATGCATTTAAAACTATTATTCTGA